TATGTATGTATATATATATATATATATATATATATATATATTATTTGCAACAAAGATTTTCTCACAAAAAGCAACATTAATTTTTATGTTGTGCTAACAATTGTTTTCATAAAATTATGAAAAAATAAATCAATAATAAAGAATAAACAAAAGTTAATGTAACAATAAAAATTAATATTAATAAATAACATGTCTTTTGCTATAATAAAGCTAAATTGTACTAAAACAAAAAAAACTAACTATACTATCTTAACTAAAACCTAACTTAAATTTACTAAATTATCATAAATGTTGTCTTCTCTCATTGTGTTTCTCAGACTCAGAAAGAAATGGCTCGGATTCAAATAATCAGGTAAGTGACAGCCGGGTACCAGTAAATTTTCATCTGAATACAGCATGATCAAAAAATGAGTCATATTTTCAATGTGTTTCCCTCCAACAGGTTCAGCCAATGAAAATCAACCCTTTCTCTCTTTCTCCCACACTGAGCAGCAGCACCAAGGTGAGTGAATGTGTGTAAATGCATGTGAATGTTTGTGTCCTGTATTACTGAGTGATTTACATACAGATCTGCTCAATTTCTTGTTTGTGACCAATCAAAAATTAGTTTTGAGACAATTTGATTAAAAGTTAGTCTTTTACAGTTTACAGATTAGAGTTTTTCCACCTCATGAGCTGCTAGTATTTTATTAACCTCACTTTATCACCCTCAATCATTTCAATACCCCCACTCACTGTCTCTTTTAGTAACACGTGAATTCATCATCAACATTTCTTTGTCACTATGTCTCAGACTAAGGTGGAGGATTGTGATGAGATGTCACCTGTTGCTGTACAAACTACACCTGCTCAGACAGCCCTTCCCCACACACAGCTGATGCTAACAGGTGGTCAGCTCGCAGGGGTAAGACAAACACGCCAGTACATGCACACGCACTTACTCTTTATATATATATATATATATATATATAGAGAGAGAGAGAGATAAAGAGATAGAGAGAGAGAGAGAGAGAGAGATAGAGAGAGAGAGAGAGAGAAAGATTTTATTGTTTTTGTGTTTAAGTAATATTTACAATTGATAATAATTAGTAATAAATATTTAATATTTTAATAACTTTCAATTAAATGTACAAAATTATTAAATGTAATAATTTAATTTAATAACATTTTTAATTTAATTTAATTTAATTTAATTTAATTTAATTTAATT